CAACTGAGGCCTGGGGCCAACGCCAGGTCTGTCTGAGGTTGCCAACTCATGCCCAGCCCCTGGGCTGTGGTCCTGGGGTGGGAAGCCTCCCTTCACAAGACTGCAGCACAGCCCTTGGCTCTGTGCCCCCACAACTGGCAGAAGAGGGGCTCAGATGTTTGGGGAAGTCAGTGCCAGGTAGCAGGGAAGGGGGTCTGATGGCTGGTCCAAGGCCACAGGAAAAGCCGCAGCAGGGCTCAAATGGGCTGAGCTCTGGGGACCTGGCTGTCACCTTCTGCCTGATGCCTCCTGCTCTGTGCCCTAATGGTAGAGTCATGGCTGGCATGAGGAAAATCCAGCTCTGGGAACCAGAGGTCTCATCCCATCCTTGACACTGGTCACATGTTGAGGACAGCCCCAGCAGGTCCTTGCTAAGTTGCAGGTGGTGAGCAGAGGGGGCAGAGACCCAGGATGCCCCTGGGCTATCTGTCAGTCCTTCCCAGCTTCGGGCCAAGTGGGCACCTGCTGAGTGTCCTGTGCTGTTCCGGGTTGACACAGGCCCAATGCACCAGGCGTTACAACCAACTCAAACAGCAGTGGCTGAGGGAAAAACAGGATATTCAAGCCTGAGGACTGTCCTGCCCCATCAGGTGGCCTCAGCCTGACACAGGTGGAAGGGCCTTCCCCGGGGTCCCAAGTGCCTGCTTCTTGTCCTTGTGAGGCCTGGGCAAGCCACCTCTGGCTCTGAACCTCAGTTTCCTTAACAGAAAAATGAGGCTGTCAAAACCTGCTTCTCAGAGTCGTCATGAAGACTAATGGGAAAAGTGCATCAACGGCGCCAAGCCCAGTGTCAGGCACAAAGTAGCTGCCAGGCATCTGCCTGCACCTGTTCAGTGCTGGGTCCTGGGGACAGGAGAGGCGCATGACTCACTGCTGCCCCCAGGAGGCCGCAAGCTGGAACAGCCATTCTCACTCACCCTGGTTCACTTCCCAGCTCTGCCCTTCCTTTTCCACATGGCCTTGACCAAGTTGTCCCCCCCTTTTAAGCCTCACTCTCCTCATCTGAAAAATGGGTACAGTAACACCGCCTGCAAGGTTACTGAGGGGATGAAACAAGATGAAGTAGGAAAAGCATCTGGTACACAGCAGGTGCCAAATAAACAGCAGTGGCTATTATCAACAGTCTGTTCTTATGGGTCTATGCTTCTTCAGGCTGTGCTGTAAAGTACTGTGCACATGAGCTGTAGGGCCATGAGGGTCATGTCTAGGCTGAGCTGGGACTCTGGAGTTTGGGGTGGGTGCTCAGAGCTCGTAGAACTCGAGGTGGAAGTACCCTTCGAGACATCTAATCCAGTCATTCCCATGCCTGGTCAACCACCCCCAAGACACAGGCTCCATCCCAGAGCTTCCAACCCAAATTATCTAGGGATGGGATTCAAGTATCTGTGTGTTAAACTAGCTTCCTAGGTAAGTTCGTTTAATCTTCTTTTTCTTCTTTTTTTTTTTTTAAAGCTATTGCCCAGAGGAGAAAATTCCATCAAAACTAAAAAACATGAAATGAAAGGAGGAAAATAAGTGGGGTTCAAGGTCACTGTGTGGCCTTGTGTGAGTCGGGTCCTTCTCCCTCTCTGGGCCACATGCTCCCCAGACCTCCCAGCAAGGAGCTGAAATTGACATGCTCCCCTCCCACCGTGATGTCTGTGATGTTTTTTGAGTGTGTGACCTATGAGCAGCCATCAGAAAGGAGGAGGCCAAGGTGGGTCTACAAATGCACAAGTCAGGACTGCTGGTTTGAGCAGCAGGAATCCAACTCATACTGGTTTAACCAAAAGATCAAATAAAATGAAACGTTGGAGGGAGAATTCCATTTGAACTGAAAACTCCAGGTGTATATATGGCTTCAGGCATTGCTGCACCCAGCCTCATATTTTCTCATTTCTTTAGTATTGGCTGCATTCTCTGGTGAGCCAGATAATTGTATCTGAGTCTTTAAGGGGGGAAAAAAAAAAACCAGACCCTGGAAATCTGCAAAGATTCAAATCTTCCTCTGTGGGTAGAGAACTCTTTCCTTCAAAATAGTGGGAAGCTAACGTGATTCTATAAAAAATTCCCCACATTTCAGGCAGGAATATATATCTGTTTTCTTCATATGAGTCTCTCTTGTGCTGTCTTGTTCTTGCATGTGTGTGTGTGTGAACATGCACATATACATGTATGTAAGTGTGTATGTGCTTGTTCAAGAGTTCTACACACATTATCAGGATAGGATCCTGAGGACCTCAGGAGGAAGAGGGGCATGGTTTTTCCCACTTCAGCAGATTTAGCCTAGTGTAGACCAGACTTGGGAGTCCCCTAATGTTTTAGCAGGAGGCAGCCCTTGATGGAGCATGTCTGTCTTCGTGTGAGCTGGGGCTAGAGAGGCTGCAGAGGAGTGGGAGACCCTGAGAACAGGCCCCTTAGAAAGCAGATCCCTTGAGCTGCCTGTGAGAGGACTGGGTCCTCTGCCTGTTTACCACCTTTGTGCCATCCCCTGAGGCCTGCCCCCAAGGGGACAAAAGCTTTTAGTGACTGTCATGTAAGAGGTGACTGATGGCAGTGGGAGGAGCTGGCTTTGCCCTGGGTGTGATCCAAGCTGAGAAACAGCACCCAGCACCAGCCGCTGTGGCTCCAAGAGGGCTGGGGTCTTGGGAGGTGAGGGGCGTGAGAAAAGGAAAGAGACAGGAAACCCGAGGGAAAGAGCCACGTGGGGATGGCTGGACTCAGATAGAAAGGAAACGCGAGGGGAAGAATCCTGAAAATGTGCGACACAGTCTTTGAACAATAGACCTACAGAAATTTAGAATCAGGGTTCACAGTCACATCAAATATCTGGTCATCTGGTGAATTTCTGAGCATCTCTGGTGATGGGCTCTCACCACCTTCCCAGGATGGCCCAGAGAGAAACTTTGGGCATTCTAGAGACAGGCCAGCATCTTAGGGACCCACATAGGAGGAGAGCCCCAGAGCACAGGGACTTCCATCTGCTGCGGCCTAAAAACAAGTTAAAAAATCAAATTGTGATCAAGCTGTGAAAGAGGCTAGCAAGGAGCTAAGGATGGGGATAATGGACAGGGGTCACCTCAGAGGGACACTAGGAGAGAAGTTCTGAGAAGGTGACATGGAGAGCCAGAGATAGCTGGGGAGGAGAGCTCTGGGCAGAGAGAACAGCCTCTGCAGAGGCCCAAGGTAGGAAAAAGGTTGGCATCTTTCTGGAACGGAAGGAAAGCGAGCAGGGGCCGAGGGTTGGGGGAGGTAGGAGAGGAGTTTAGAGATGCCGCGGGCGGATGACACAGGCTCCCGTAGGCCATGGCAAGGGCTTTGGGTTTTAGACCTTTCCGGCTGCTGCATGAGAGTAGACTAGAGAGAGGCAGGTGTGCAGAGGGAGAGCAGGCGTGAGGCTGGGGGCGGGGTGTCTCCTGACACTGGCTGTGCAGCCTCGGGCAAGGCACTTAGCCTTCTGGACATCACTGTTGCCCACACACAGGACTAATATTGAGGAAGATTTTGTTCACTCTCAGTAAGATCTTCCTACCAAGTACGTGGAACTAGCAGGCTAGGGGGATAGTGAGCTCCCCATTGTTGCAAACATTCACACTGAGGCTGGCTTTGCTCATGACAGATGCTGTGAGACACCAGAGGAAGACTGGGCAGAATGACCTCTCAGGTCACTGAGTCTGACTCTCTGTGGGTCACAATTCTAGCCCCATCTCTGTCCCTGTCTTGCTGGGTGACCTCAGGCTACTGGCTTCCCCTCTCTGAGATTCCAAATGATGACAGCGTTACACTTAATGATCACTATGGGTGCTCCCCTCAGAACATTCCCCAATTTGTACATTCCCAGTCTTCTCCCCAACCCCCACCTATAAGGGCCACCCCCTTGACAGCTGCAGGTTCCATGAGGACCTTGTCTTAGTCTTGGCAGAACGTTCTGCCCTCATCCATCCATTCCAGTTCAAGCATCCTGGGTGACCTTTGGGTTGGAAGTCTGCCTGGTCTTCCTGGGCAGGAGTTATTTTCTTTGGAGTCTCCTTGGATGGCCCAGGGCTTGCTTCCATGAGCAGTCTCCCATCCCGTCACCAGCACATAAGGGCCACCAACACTCAGCGGAATCCTAGGAGACCGTGCAAGGGAGCAAAGGAACATCCGCCTCCACACCTGTGAGTGGCACCCACATGGTGGTCTGTAGAAGGCTTTGGGGGCATAGGCAGAAGAATGGGACTGCTTGGATTAGCTCATATTTTGGATATAGCAAATTAAGAGAAGTATCAAGCTGATGGGAATGCAGGGTCATGAGGTGGTGTCCATTGATTTGTTCACACTTTTATTCAACAAATATTTATTCACTTAGTGTACTATACTAGCTGCAGGCTTTTTACTGCAGTCCAGGGATTCAACAGTGAAATGTCACAGTCCTTCTCCTAAGGAGTTCACAGCCTGGAAGGAAAAGTGGGCAAGTCATCAAGTAATTGGTACCCAGGACCCTGATCAGAAAACAAAGGCAGAAATGGGGGGTAGGGGGGAGAAAGGAAAGGAGTCCCACCTAGACTCTGGGAGGAGGCGTAGAGTAGGCTTCACAGAGGGCATGATGTTTTTGCAAAGCTGGAGAGTCAGTAGGAATTGATTATCTGTCCAGGATGAGCAGATGAGAGATGAGAGAGAATTCCAACCCAAAGGTAAAAAAGTAAAGGAAAGATATTTCAGGAAGAGAAGACAGCATGTGCAGAGGACCTTTGTGTAAAGTGCATGGACTTGCAGTCAAGTCTGACTTTTCCAATCCCACCTCCTCCACTCACTGGCTGTGTGTCTCTGGGTAAGTTGCCGGCTTTCTGACCTTGGCTGCCCATCTGTAAAATAGGAGATAACACATCTATCCTAATGGGATATGAAGTGTAAGAACTATAGGTGCTCATTGAGTTTCCTTTTCCCTCTGGGCAATTGTCACTTCTATTCCTCCCGTGACTGTCCAGGTGTCAGAACAGAAGATGTTCCAGCTTTGGAAGCTTGTTCTCTTGTGCGGCCTGCTCACTGGAACCTCAGAGTCTCTTCTTGGGGATCTTGGCAATGACCTAACTAATGTTGTGGAAAATGTGAAACCTGCTCTTGAGACTGGACTTGAGACTGTTGACAATACACTTGATGGTGAGTCAAGAAGGGTGATCATCAGAGGCACCAGGAGTTAGCTGCCCCCACACCATGCCTGCATCACCAGAGGCTGCCACCAGGGGCTGCCCTTTACGGGTGATTTACTGAGAAAGGTGGCTTTTCAATTGCTGGCTCATTCAATTATTTCTCTAGAAACAAGTAATGCTACGAATATCCTTCTACATATATCCTGATAAACTTTGGCCAATATCTGCGTTTGATAAATTCCTCAAAGTGGGATTTCAAGAGTTCAAACAGTATATGTGTCTTAATCCGTTTGATGTTGCTTATAACGAAATACATGAAACTGGGTGATTTATAAGAAAATAAAATTTATTGCTTACAGTTTCTGAGGCTGAGAAGTCTAAAGTCCATCTGGTGGTGGTGACAGTGACCCAGGGGTCTCACATTGCAAGATGGTGGAAGCAGAGAGAACAGAGAGAGAGCAAGACAGACAGACTCTCCTCTTCTTTTAAAGCCCTCAGAACCATGCCCCTGACCACCACTTTTAATCCGTTCACTACTGCACAGTCCTACAACCCAATCACCTCTTCAAGGCTCCACCTTTCAATTACCGTAATAGGATTTCCCACCCTCTTAGCAATCACAGTGGGGCTAAGTTTCTAATACATAAAAACTTGCAGGATACAATTCAAGCTTCAGGGAGTTTTGGGGGGACATAATTCAATCCACTACAATACGCATGTTAAATTACGGCAGATGAGGACAAATAATCCCGTGTTAACACTTTCTCCAACAGTGTATAGGTGCCTTTTTTTCCCCACTCCCTTGCCAGCACTAGGTATGGACAACTTTAAATTTTTTGCCAGTCTCATAAATGAAAGATTGCAACTTATTTCACCTTGCATTTATCTAATTACGAGAGTTCTTTCATTTTTTCATATCCTTACCATCCCTTTCATTTTTTGCCAGTCTCATAAATGAAAGATTGCAACTTATTTCACCTTGCATTTATCTAATTATGAGAGTTCTTTCATTTTTTCATATCCTTACCATCCCTTTACATATTTTAACACAAGTATTTTATTCATATTCTTAGCATATTCTTCTGTTGGGTTGTTTAATTTTCTCTTATTGACTTGTATTAACTCATTGTAAATTAAAGAAGTTAGTCCTAGCTAGCCTAAGTATCTGTAAGGCTACCTACCTTCATATTAAATCCCACCTCCTTTTTATGCTGACTTGTTAAAAGAATTTGGCTTTCTTTTCATTTTCTGGAAACATTAACAGCACAGTGACAAGCAGTTTTTATAGGAAGAGGTAACTTCTGCAAAAGACTGCCTTTCAAACCTTGTCAGGACTTGGGCAAGTTTCAAAGATGCAGAAAGGATCCACGCTCTAGTATCACAGCTGGGAAAACTGGGGCTCAGAGACGGAAGTGTCTGGATCAAGATCATCTAGTGAGTTCTATGATCAGATGTAGTTACATCATTGATTTTATTTAAATTGACATTCTCTGCATCATTGTAACTAGGTAGATACCGTCTGTCGCAGAGCCAAGTTGCAGTACTGTGATTATGTCTCTTTTCTTACACAGTCTTTTTTTCCCTTGAGTTAGTGAGTGCCTTGTTGTTTCTCACTTGAATTATTTTCTACCCATATATTCTTAATTCTTTTCATATGCACCACTCTACATCTGCCGTGTAATTTATCCTATCTCATCCCCCTGTTCTCTGGAGACCTCCCATCAGGACACTCTGTCCTCAAGCTCCTGTATAAATTATTGCTCTCTGGGCCTACCGCAAAGCTGTCATTCTGGGACTCCCACTTGCCACTTTCATGGGCTAGAGCCATATTTTTTTTTTCTTGGTTGTAGATTTTCCATTTGTTAGTTTATTCTCTCATTTTGTTTGACCTAGCCTTTCAAGCTCATGTGAGCATCTCACTTAAAGCAATGGACCCCCACGTCTCTCCTAGAAGCTTATGTACAATCAATATCAATTGCCTGGCCAATTAATTGATTGGTTTGTTGATAAATGATCAGTATATATTAGTATGGAGGCAGCATGGAAGGATTCCCTAGCCGTGTGACTAGACACATTTCTTAACCTTTTTGAACCTTTATTTCCTCATCTGTAAAGTGCAGGTAACAATGATACCTACCTCACTGAATTGTTATAAACATTAAATGACATAACGTAGACAAAAGTCTTACCTGGAACCTAGAGCACGGTGGCTGCTTCCTAAGTGGTGCATGACACTATATGGTGATTGTTTTTGACAGCTGACCTTCCAAAACTGAGTGTCGACTTGGACGTGCTTCAGAAATCCAAGGTTTGGCAGCTGGCCAAGCAGAAAATCCAGGAAGCTGGGAATTTGATGAACAATGCCCTAAATTTGGTCAATTCAGTTAGCGAGAAGACTTCGGGGTGAGTTGGTACTTCATGATGGAGACCTTTGTTCCGAGAAAAGGAAATACATATCTTTGGGTAGGTAAGTTTAATATCAAAGACAGGTGGCCAAGCCTTGTTCCATGCTACAGAGCTGAGGTGGTCTGAGGCCACGCCACCAGAGCTTGAGTAAATTAGGGGCAGGGCTACTGGGCCAATCTGGGCATCTTCTGGGCTGGGACTTCCACGTCCTGCAATTTCAGGGTCAAGGTGAATTTTCTATTCATCTTCACCTCCATCTGTTTGCTGGTACCTGAAGTTCCTTTCCCAAGGAATAAAACTTTTCTTCTCCAAATATAGCTAGAGATAAAAGCGTATATCCCCTCGGGGTAAGGAAAACTAAAATCCAAACCAAGTCACCCCAGGCTCCACATGTAGAGTTTTGGAGTCTGAGTGTTCTGGGTTCAAATTCTGACTCTGGCCCTTATTCCCCTTGAAATCTGGGGAAAATCACATCTGTCTGAGTCAAAGCATGCTGTGCCATAAAATGCAGAGAATGGACAGGGCTACAGTGAAGACTAAAGAAGGCAAGGTCGGTGAGGCCCAAAGGCTCAGCACGACGTGGCATAGGGAAGTGTCAGCAAATGCCTGTCGTGAGGAATGACCAGGGGCAATTGTGGTTTCTGCTCAGGGTGGAGATCAGCAACTCCCTCATCCAGGATGTCAAAAGTGAACTGACTGCTGATGGCAATGGCATTAACCTGAGGTTTCCCGTCACCGCCGATGTCACTGTGGTCCTGTGAGTAGGCGTTAGAATCTGAGATTTGAGATTTGGGAGAGGCAGTGTGGCATGGCAGATGGCTCCCCAACATGGGAATCGGGCACATTCCCATGCTGCTGTGCAACTTTGGGCCTCAGTTTCCCAATCTGTAAATGTGGGGACTTTTCCAGGTCTAAAATCGCAGGCTTTAAAATGTTCTAGTGCACCTCGGCCATAACTAAGTCTCTTTTAAAAAGAATTCTTCATTGAATATATTTTTGAAATTATAACACTTATCTAATTATAAAATTTGAAAAATTGAGAAGACATGAGTATGTATAATTCTTTAGCAAAATTTCCTCCAGATTATTTTGTCTCCCAAGACTCTCTCTAAATAGCAGTGACCATTACAGATAAATGTAGATAAAAGTGTACAGTATGTGATAAAGAGCATGTATCAAAATATAATTTTAAAATATTTTCATATTGAAAGATATAGACAGACAGGATAATGAGCATATGTAAAAGAATTTCTATAATTTAAGTGCACTAATGGTGCCATCAGTCATTAGCTGTGAGATTTGGGGATAGTTACATAACCTCTCAGTACCAAGGTTTCCTTATTCAGAAAAGAGAGATAATAATGGTACTTTTCCCTCATAGTATTGCTGTGATAATTAAATGGATTAATCCAGGTAAAATACTTTTTAAAAGTGCCTTTACACGATTTGTGTACTGTAAATATTAACTACTATTATTTTAATGATTAGTACAATGTGTATAAAAATTTCACATGAGCTAAACTCATGTGGCCAGGAGAAGAATCCCCTAATATAAACATGCAAATCCCATAAAGACTATGAATCATGGTGACATTACTTGGACAATGTGTTCATTAGCCATAGACATCCTGGATAACTTCCACACAGGTAGAGGAACTCGAGCAGGCAACATGAAAGGCCTTCTAGACCTCTGCTCACTGTGAATCTCGTTTCCTGCAGGCCTTTGATTGGCAAGGTCGTCGACCTGAAGGCCTCCCTGGACCTCCTGAGTGGCGTCAGAATTGACACCAATGTCCAAAACAGCCTGAGCACAGTGGTCCTGGGAGAATGCACCAGCGACCCGATCAATGTCTCCCTCTCCTTGCTAGGCAGGTAAGGCCTGCTGAGCTGGGCTTTCAGGGGAGTTGAAGACCCCTAATTTCAGTCCTATTTCTATACCTGGGAGGTGACTTAATCTGGTGAAAGAGTTCGGGCTCTGGGGTTAGACTGACCTTGGTTCATATATCGGCTCTGCCACTAACTTGTAACTTTATAACCAATGTATTCTCTCTAAGCCTCAGTTTTCACATCTGGCAACTGGGGATGATAGTAATACCTACTCATAGGCTTCTGAGATGACCAGATGAGAAAAAATATAAACATTTAGCATAGACCCTAGAACATACTAAGTTCTCAGTAGTAGTAATATGCATGTTGACTCTCTTGTCTTCTGCTTCTTTCCACTACTGAGACAGGAGTATTGACCTCTCTAACTCCAATTGTGAATTTGCCTATTTCACCTTTCAGTTCTATCAGGTTTTGCTTCATGGCTTTTGAAGCTCTGTTGTTAGGTGCATACACATTTAGCTTTGTTATATCTTCTTGGAGAATTGCCCCCATTATCATTATTGTAATGGTCCTCAATAATAATAATATAATAATAACAATAATAATAATTGTATGTACCTTCTTGCCTCCAGTTGGGAGGGGGAGGGAGAGTAAATGTCTACCATGGGCTCTAATTTCAGATTGTTCCTAAATCATCCTCCACCCACTGGAAAATTCCTGAAATGAAATCTTGAAAATGTAATCCCCCCCATTTAAATCACTGATCCCTGTTAATCCACAAAATCTACATCTTAAAGCATATGCTTGAAAGAGCAAGTTTGGAACAGGCAAGAGGGTGGAAGGAGAAGGGTTGACCCTGGCCAGTGGCTGGGAGAGCAGAAATGGTCTGGCAGTCCTGGGCTGGTTGGCCTTAGCCAGAAGCAGGCTGGGTTCTTGGCTCTCAGCCATGGTGGCCAAGAGCAGAGGTCACTCAACCCTCCCCCACCAAAGAATGTGATCACAGGTTACCCAAAGAGCCCCTAAAACCAAAGAAAGGCTTCATGGCCTGATGTTAGTTGGAAAGGCTGGGATGCAAATTCAGAGTCCTGAGCCCTGCTGGACACTGCCTTGTCAAACAGCCCCAGGAACTGATCTTGCCATTCTGGGTTTGTGTCCACGTCTGTGAAATGCCACCACTCGGCTCTAAATCCTCTCAGGGCTTTTCTTTGCACTTTGGATGCAATCCTGAGTGCTCCCCAGGCTGTAGGCTCATCCTGGTCTGGCCCGACCTGCATGTCACTGCACTCTCCTCTCACTCAGCTCTGCTCCAGACACTTTGGCCGCTCTCAGGGCTTTTCTTTGCACTTTGGATGCAATCCTGAGTGCTCCCCAGGCTGTAGGCTCAGCCTGGTCTGGCCCGACCTGCATGTCACTGCACTCTCCTCTCACTCAGCTCTGCTCCAGACACTTTGGCCTTGGTTCTGTGCCTCACACAAGCTCTTTCCCACTTCAGGACCTTGGCATGGGCTCTTCTGACTACCAAGAGCACTTTTTTTCTCACTGTACCTCAAAGTACCTTCTCATCCTTTGGGCTCTTGACAAGGTTCCTCCTATTCTCTCTCATAAGAGTCTGCTCTTGCCCTTCAGACTACTTGTCACACATTGTCATTATATATTTAATTGTATGTTTACTTCACTCATCCTTTCAGCCAAAAATGTATTGAGCATCTGCTATGTGTCAGGCAGGTACCATCTGAGCTCTGGTGAATTGATTGGGGAAGACAGACAAGGTCCCTGTCCTCGTGGAGCTTATCCTGAGGGAAAGGCAGGCAGATGAGTGTTCAGACCATCAATTAAGAACCCTCAAGGAAAACGACCAGCCCTACGCAGAGCATGACACTTAACAGGGCACTAGGATGGCAAAGTCCTCCCTTGGAGGAGCAGTCAAGGAGGGCTGCCCTGAGGAGGTGGCAATTATGCTGAGAGTTGAAGGTGGGAGGAGCCAGCATCGGAATCTGCAGAGAACTGTATGCACATGAAATCATGAGAAGCTCTGCTCAACCGTTCCCAGGGCCCCACTTGACCCTTTAAAATTCCAGGGTTCCAAAGATCAAGGTTTCTAAGAGTATGGGGATGTTAACACTCTAGAGTATAGATTCTTGAGGTTCTAGAATTCTAACATTCTAAGGTTTTAGGATTCTAGCATCCGAGGGTCCTCTGATTTTAGACTGCTAGGATTCCATTGTTCCAGAATCCTAAGGTCCAAAGGCTCTAAGATTCCTAGAAATGAGCATCTCTGTGGGTGGCAAATGGTTTGTTCTCAGCTGAGAATGATTTGTTCTTCTTCCTTCCTCCTCTTCACCCTCTTTCTCTCTGGTCTCTGGTTCTCAGGTATGCCCACTGATCCGCAGCATTGTTGACACCCTGGACATGAGTTTAATCCAGAACGCCATTGGTAAGTCACAGCCTGGGGGAGAGGAGGCTCTCCAAGGGCACACCTGCAGCTCTGTGCCCACCCCATAGCAGTTGTGGCCCGGGGGCCCTGGAGCAACAGAGGGACACACTGTCCCGAGCACGTTGGAAACTGTGGCTATTCTTCCAGCCACGTAGGGGCTCGCTTTGGCCTTTAGGTCTCCAAGCATGGCTGGGTTGCTGGGGCTGCTGGGGCAATAGAAATGGGGTAGGGAAGGTGTCAGGGCCCTGGAGGGGGCTCTTCTATGAAAATAGTCGTTAAGTCCGGTCCCTTAGGCAATCTCTCTGAGCTCGGTATGTCGCATCCCATTGGATCTTCGCAACAACCCTGTGGGGCAGGTACTGTCATTGTACCTATTTTACAGATGAACAAAGTGTACATGCCTGAGGTCCCATGGCTGTCAGACTACCCTGCTGGAGAGTAGCAGCTATTGAGTCCTGGTCTATATTCAACTTTCAGTGGCAGAGACTGAGGCCTGATATTGGTTTAGTTCTTTCAGCAGAAGGAAGCCTCCTGCAAAACTCCAACTGAAGAGGATGAGGAGGAGGACTGCTGTGATGCCCACCTGCTGGTGAGGGGCCGGGCCTGTGGTGAAGCAAAAGTGAGGCTTGGCTTCTCTTCTTTTTCCAGCAGCAGACTGAGCCCTTATCTCAGTCATAGACTGAGTCCTGATTCTTGTCACACTCTGAATCCTGAGCCTTGATCACACACCCAGACTGAGCCTAGATCCCAGTCACAGACTGAGTTTGATGCCAGTTATTGATTGAGCCTCAACCTGGGTCACAGACTGAGCCCTGATCCCAATCTCAGACTGATCCATGGTCCTGATCATTAGCACGTCCTGCCCATGGCTCCAGTCATGGCCTCTGTTCAGTCTTTTTACATTTGCCATTGCTCCGAAGGAGGGCGAGGGGAATGAGGATGGGTCAGTGCCGGGTGCCAGAGAAAGACCGGTGCCAGTCCGCTCTCCAAGGCCTTCCACCATGCAGGGTATTATGGGAAAGAGCTGGGACGGTGGAGCCAGGTCAACATGAGTCCCATCAAGTGCCCGTGGGGCAGCCATTGCTGCAGATGTCCTAAACACCCCAAGGTCTCATTCCAGGTTGGTTCCCAGTGGCTTGACCTTGATCCCTTGCTGCGTCTCCCCCTGGGAAGGTGCTGCCACCATTCAGTCAGAGCGGAAGCCTGAGCTCAGCCAGAAGGACCCTCCCAGACACCCCTTCTCCTCACACTTGGGCCAGCAGCTCCTACACCTGTTATCCTGCCCCCAGCAATAAAAGCCCATTTTTGCACCCTCCTATGTGGCCTGCTGCATTCCCTTCACTGGGACTTGTTGGCAGGGGGTGGGGGCTGCAACTGGGGCAGCCAAGACCTGGACCTGGAGCTGGAAGGAACATTTGGGAATATCCAGCTCCACCTCCTTGTTTTACAAATGGGGACAAACTGAGGCACAGAGAGGGCAAGAAACTGGCCTGGGTCACACAGCCAGTCTGAGGCAGTGGCAGAACCCTTGATTCATCCATTCACACATTCAACAGGTACTTAGTGAGTACCTACCCTGTGGCCGGCAGGCTGGGGAAGCTGCACAGGCACACTTGGGGACAACCCACCCAGTGCTTTCCTCCATTGCTCTCCAGGGGTCCTGAGGACTCATGGAGAATCAGGAGTGACACAGGGTCAGGGGACTAGGGCCCCATCCTCACCTTCCCCTCCTTGCCCTCTGAGAAGCTGGAGTTCCCCTGGAGCTGTGATCACTTCTCTAGGCAGCACTGACAGCACCCACGGTCCCCAGCTCCAGGCTCACCGATCCCTCCCATCGCCAGCCCTGAGACCATGTGCCCACCCACCAGGCTACATGGAGGCCCAGCCTCCCCAGTGAGGTCAAGCACCCTGGGGATGCTCACCTGTCCCATGGAGACCGGCTCCTTCCTCTGTCCAAGGCCCCTCCATCCATACCCCAGAACGCAGCTCACCCCAGGTTGGGCCAGGCCATGGCAGAGACAGCATCACACTGCTTACGATAACACGGCCACCACCATGGAGGGCTGCCTTTGTGCCAGCACACACAATCTCATTCCTTCTTCACTACACCCCTGTACCAGGAGACTCCATTATTATTTCCACTTGACAGATGAGGAAACTGAGGCTCACAGAGGCAAAGTGACCCATCAAGGTCACATAGTGAGTCAGGATTTGAACCCACGGCTCTAGGGCCCCTGGACTTACTACCAAAGAGGTGATGTCAGCTCCCGGGCACTCTGGCCATCTCTCTCGCCAGCCTCCAGCAGGCTCCACCTTCCTGGCCCTGCTTTCTTTTGCCCAGGACAGACAAGGACCCCTCGATGCTGCTGTTCTCCCCCAGTGCCGCGTGACTGAGGCCTGGCCAGTGGCACGTCAGCAGAAGTGACTGTGCAAGTTCCACCTGTGCTGCAGAAAGAAGGGTCCCTCCGCCTCCTCCTGGCCTTCCCTCTTCTCTCCGGTGAGAAGTGGGGACAACCGGGGAAGCTACCCTGGGCCCAGAGGCAGCAGCCGCGTGCTGCGGACGGCACAGCCCCCGACTGCTCACCCGCGAGCTCTTACGAAAGAAAGAAGGAACTCGCTATTGAAACCACTGTGTTTTGGGGTCTCCTTGCTAAGACTGCTTTGTCTCTGTTGTACCTAACTCATTTTGCCCATGACACGCTGGGTGACACTAGGCTGCTAACATCCTCTCTCTGAGCCCCGTTTCCCTATCTCTGTAGTGACACCTGAAGGCCCCTCCTGCTCTGACAGGACAGGTGTTAACGTTCCTTCCAGAACTGAAGGGGAAGGTGAGAGTAAAACACTTATTCAGTTCCTACCACACGCCAGGCAGTATGTCAGACGGGTGGTCCTCAACCTGAGGTGACTTTACTCACAGGAGACATTTGACAATGTCTGGAAACAGACATAGTCGTCACAAATTTGGATGGGGTGCTGTTGGCTTCTTGTGGGTAGAGGCCAGGGATGCCAGTAACTGTCCTATAATGCACAAGACTGCTCTTCATAACAGAATCATCCAGCCACAAATGTCAGTAGTGTTGAGAAACCCTGGATTAGGCCTTTATGCACATTATCTCACTGAATTCTGATTTTTACGGGTGCTGTTGGCTTCTTGTGGGTAGAGGCCAGGGATGCCAGTAACTGTCCTATAATGCACAGGACAGCTCTTCACAACAGAATCATCCAGCCACAAATGTCAGTAGTGTTGAGAAACCCTGGATTAGGCCTTTATGCACATTATCTCACTGAATTCTGATTTTTACAGAGTGATTCGGTGCATGGTTCTTTGGGTAGGTATGGAACTGAGGCTCAGAGAGGTGCAGTGACCTGCCTGAGGCCTTGGGGCTGGTCTGAGGTGAAGCTGGACTCAATCCGAAGTGAGCCTCCTCCATAGCTGGCGTTTTCCATGCTAGCCAAAAAAGAGTGCTGAGTGTTTTCCTTTCTGACTGTATTTTGTGACAATCCCACCTCCCACAGAAAATACACAAGGAGGTACTTAAAAACGGTTTCTTTTGAGCAGTGACCAGTTCGGGTCAGTGCCAAGCCCTAGTCCATGCCATCCCATGCACCTAGGACACCTTTCCTTCCCCCTACCCCGCTGGCTAAATCCTCCTCAACCTTCAAGACTCTGCTCAGGAGTCACCTCCCAGCTCATGGAGGACTGCGCCTTAATGTTTCCAAAAAAGTATACCGTGTTTCCCGACATGTAGGTCTAACCAAGCCACCTTGTCATGAGTGTGTCAGCTCTCGTTGTTACGGTTTTCATTTTTCCCATTCATCTGTCTGCCCCACGAGCCTGTGGCGGGTGCTTTACTCCTCCCAGCAGCCCCAGAGCCCAACGAAGGAGCGGAGCACAGGCACGAACCGACGTGGAAGGGGTAAATGAGCGAGCGAGCGAGTGAGTGAGCGAACCCCTTCCTGACTGTGCACGCCCCAGAGCCCAACGAAGGAGCGGAGCACAGGCACGAACCGACGTGGAAGGGGTAAATGAGTGAGCGAGCGAGTGAGTGAGCGAACCCCTTCCTGACTGTGCATAGTCAGACGCCGTCTAACTAAAACTCTAGCAAACCACATTGGGGGATATAGGAAACCTGTCATTGTTTTTGGTTCACCAGGACCAGATACTGACCCTTGAGGACATAAGTAACCAGCTATCGACCCAAAGCCTGGCTCCTACGTGTGTGAGGCCAGGATATGGAGCGGGTGGGGCTAAGGCCACCCAGCCCCACTGGTGACTGATGTGGCCAGTAAGGAGGGAAACAGGACGGGGTGGAGAAGTGCAGATGCGTTCTTCCTCCGTGAGCCTGGCTCCCCCAGGTCCAGCTCTGGCTCCCTGTCCACGAGGCCCAGACCTCAAAGGAAAATGGGGTGAGGGTTTCCCAGAGGTGGTGACATCCCATGAAGGGGGTCTGAGGAAGAGAAGAACATTTTAAGGGAGTTAGAGGACATCTGCCATTAGGGGATATGTGGAAAGAAAGAAGGCAAAACCCAAGTGGACACTGAGTCACGCGGAGAGCAGCGCACCAAGCTCTAGACGAGGCTCATTTGAAGGCTTAATCCAGTTAAATAAATGCTGCGCATTCAGGTGGGTCTTTCCAATGTCTGCACGACTTCTTCAGGATAATGTCTCAGCATCAGAATGATTAGCTCTGTGCCTTGGAATATTTAATGATCCCAGGAACACATCACGAAATTATTTACCAAACCGGATCTTCCTATTTACACTACGATGAGAAGGTGTGCGTATTTTACCATACCTTTGCCAGCAGATTGACGCTTTTAGTTTAAATATTTGCTCTTTGAATGGGAGTAGAATAAACTTCATCACAGTGGAAGCCAAAGGTCCCAAGTTAGGAGACTCAATTGTTACATCAATTTGATAGTCTATTTTCTGCGTGTTTAAAAATTAATTGGGAAATACTTGTGGTTTCCAGCTGGGTGAAAATATGGATCTTAGGACTGAGCTTAATTGGAATTGCAATGAAGCAAGAAAAATGAAATAGAGAAAAAAACTGAAAAGGGATGCTGAAATTTGACAAAAGTTAGTTTTATGGGGGGGTGACTCACGTCTGTGTTCATGTCTATGCAAGAAATAAAATGCATGTTTAAAAAGTAGGAAGGTTATTGAGTATCTAGCTGAGCCAGGCAATTCAGGGGTGACTTAAGCAGGACTTCCCCAACCTCAGCATGCAAGGAATGTGTTCCTGCTACATGCCACGCCTGTTGCACGGACTGGGGGCAGGATGTGGGGGAGAGGGCAGGACCTGCTTCTGCCATCAAGAAGGGACACAGCCTCTTGGGGGATATGGGTTCATGAAGAGGCAATAAAGCGCTGAGAAAAGAAACTCAGAGCAGGGGCTTCTGTTCCAGCTTGGAGGTGACGGGCAGTCAGGGAAGGCTTCCCGGAGAAGGTGCCGATTGATCTGAAATTGAAAGGATGACAAGCAGAGAAGGGAGGGGAGGGCATTGCAAGCAGAAGTGACCAAATGAGCAAACACAGGGAGGTGGCACTCAGCCCTCAAGGCTGCAGGAGCATAAATGTGTGAGGTTCAAATGGAGGCAGGGCCTCGAATGCCACGCTGGGGGTGATTTCGATGTGATCCCCTAAGGCAGCAGTTCTCAGGTCTCTTTGTTCTTAGCACACTCTCAAAAATTGAGAACCTCAAAGAGCTTTTTTTAAAATATGGGTTCCCTTTATCAATCTTTGCCATAAAAGAAAGTAACACTGAGAAATTCTTAAATATATATTTGTCAATTCCTTTTAAAATAGCAATATAAACTCAGGACATTTTATCAAAATGACATATTTTTATAAAAAAATAACTGTTCCAAAACATCATTAGTGAGAAGAGTGGCTTCGTTTTATGTTTTTTTTTAATCTCTATAATAACTGGCATAATAGAAGACAGCTGGATTCCAGTGGCTGCTTCTGCTTTCAGTCTGTTGCAACATTACATGTCATGTAGTGTCTAGAACATTCTGCTCTACGCTTCTGAGAGTATGAGAGTGAAAAGGCCGATAATGGATTAGTATTAGTTTAGTATTTGTTTTGACCTTGCAGAGCCCCTGAAAAGGGTCTTGCGGACCACCAACAACACATTGCAAACCACCGAGCTAGACTCTAGGGAGCAAGGACGGTTTCTGAGCAGGGGCAGGACAATTTCAGCTCTCGCTTTCAGGAAGTGATGGGTCAGCTGGGTTGGAAGGAGACAAAGGCTGAGGCTGGTCCAGGTGAGAGACTGCAAAATTTGACCCAGGACAGATGCTGCTGGGGGTGGGTAGCTGGGCTATAGACTAGAGAGAGGGTGGCTTCTGGGGAAGGGGTACTCACAAGAGAGGGGTGGAAGCCCTTGCCATGGCTCACTCACACTGAGGCTTTGCCATCCGAGTTCCCCCAGACTAGGCTATGGAGGTAGCCAGGGCTGGTGGCTCGGAGCCTGTACTCTGCCCTCCTCAGCCTGGGCGGGGGAGAGTGATGCCAGAAGGAGCAAGCCCTCTTCTTTGCTCCAGAAGAGGAAACAGTGATTCTCATTGGCTCCTATCCAAGGTCAACGGTCAAAGTCAACATTTGCCCCTGTTGTCCTGTTAACATTCACCCATCCAACTGACCCTCTGGGCCTGTAGACGTGGCTGCTAATGGGAACAGCTGTGCTGACAATGGTACCTACAACGTCACACCCTTGATCCAGACTTCCAGGGCAGCTTCCCACATGATCGAGGCGATTGTGCTCCTCGGTACTTACCCAAATGAGTTGAAAAATTATGTCCACACAAAAACCTGCACACAGACGTGAAGAACAGCTTTATTCTTAAGTGCAAAAACTTGGAAGCAACCAAGGTGCCCTTCAGTAAGTGAACGGACGAACCAGCTGTGGTGCACCCAGACAATGGAATATTATTCAGTGCTAAAAAGAAATGAGCTTTTAAGCCTCAAAAAGACTTGAAGGAGTTTCAAATGCTATTACTAAGTGAAAGAAACCAATCTGAAAGTGCTTCATACTGTGTGATTCCAACTATATGACATTCTGGAAAAGCAAAACCATGGCGACAGTAAAAAGATAAATGGTTGCCAGGGGTTCGGGGGACAGGAGGGATGAATAGGTGGAGCACAGAGGACTTTTAGGACAGTGAAACTAGTCTGTGTGATACTACAATGGTGGACACATTTGTCAAAACCCAACGAATGTACAGCAGCAAGGGCGAACCCCAGTGTAAACCACGGACTTTGGATGATAATGATGTGCCCGTGCAGGTTCATAGATTGTAGAAAATGTACCACTCTCAGGTGCGATGTTGATAGTCAGGGAGGTTAGGAGAGATGGAAGGGGTTAAATGGGAACTCTCTGTACTTCCCACTCAGTTTTGCTGTGAATCTAATACTGCTCTAAAAACATAACATTTATTTTAAAAAATAAAATAAAACACTTCCAGGGCGGAGGCTTCAAGCCTGGCATCCATGTCCCCTAGAACCTGACCTCTGCCTGACCTTTCAGCCTCCCCTCCTGGGCTTCCTTGCCCACATTCTTTAAGGAAGAAGCATGTGATGATGTTTCAGTGGGTGGCCTGGGATCTTCGGGGAACACCTGCTCTCAGGTGACCCAGGAGAGAGTGTCATTCCAGCTCCAGCACGTATCAGTAGGTAGAAAATGTACTGGGATAAAATTGAATTGCGGTTAAGAGCTCAGCTTTCGTGTCTGCCATGGTTTGAATCTTGGTTCTTCCAAGAGCTTGAGGCCCATTATTCAGCTTCTCTGAGCGCAGCCCCTTGGCCTGTAAAGCAGGTGTTAGAGCACCAGCCCTCGTAGGGTTTGGAGAGGATGAAAGGAGATGTGCCATGCAAAACCCATAACGCAAGGCCAGGAAAACTTATACATGGCCCTAAGAGCTGACCAGTTAGGGGCAGAAGCTGATATCCTCAGAGCCAGGGCTGAGTGTTGGACAAATGCCCAGCTTTGGGGTCAGAGACTGAATTCTACTCGGCTTGATCTGTAACATCTTCTTGGGAAGACTGAGATTAGAGCAAGTCCTATAGAATGGGTCATTCATTTGTTCATTCATTCTTTTGACACAGATTCATGGAGGATTTACTATGTTCCTGGCAGGCCCAAAGACCCTGAAGCAGGAGAGAGCAGGACATTCCAGGGAAACAATGAGCAGGCAGCAGTGGGCATGGCCTGCCTTTGGGGATGTTGGTGGAAGATCAACAGTACGAGGTCCTCATGGCTGGGCCTCTGAAGGATGGTCTGATCTTTGCCCAGAATGGTTAAGTGACTTAGTGGCAGACAGGGAGGTTCACCACTCAGGTGTCCCTTCAAAGGAATCTGCTACAGATATGGTAGTTAGCTGACCATGTCTCTACATTTATGTTTTTATCTGTCTACATAGAACAAAGACTAGAGGGACATTGTTTGCTTTATGTGCTTCTGTATTTTAAAAATATTCTTTTATAAATGGATTATTTGAATAATTTGAAATACGACTTAGTGGCAGACAGGGAGGTTCACCACTCAGGTGTCCCTTCAAAGGAATCTGCTACAGAGATGGTAGTTAGCTGACCATGTCTCTACATTTATGTTTATATCTGTCTACATAGAACAAAGACTAGAGGAACATTGTTTGCTTTATGTGCTTCTGTATTTTAAAAATATTCTTTTATAAATGGATTATTTGAATAATTTGAAATACATGTTATCTCAGTTTATTGCTGATGACATAACTAATACCTCAGACTGGGTAATTTATAAATAATAGGAATTTATTTCTCACAGTTCTGGAGGCTAGAAAGTCCAAGATCAAGGTGCCAGCAGATTCGGTGTCTGGTTAAGCCCACTCTCTGCTTCTGAGATGGCATTGTCACTGTGTCCTCACAGGGCAGAAGTGGAGGGGTCAGGCAGCTCTCTGACACCTCTTTTATAGCATAAGGATGCTTATAGCATAAGGAGGGTTCAATAAGCATTTGTGAAAATTGCTTGTCGATGTCAGCTGCTATTATTTAGATGGAGAAACTGAGCCTGCAAAGGGCATGGGAATTGCCCTATGTCAAACAGCAGGGACTGGGCACAGCCAGGCTAGAACGCAAAGCTCCAGGATCACAGACCAGTGAACTGAGGCTGGGACACCCTCTCCCTCCCTATCCAGAGTAGATTGAGTGGCTTTCTCCCTCCCAGTCACCAGGTGCATCTCATCTATTGAACAGGTGAGGACACAGGCTCAGAGCAGGACAGGGACATGAATGTGCAACATGCACACAGTCTCCCACCCTCAGCCCCTCTCAGTGCTCCCCACACTCCCCACATCTCTCCACTTGATGACATTCATGATGTACAGGTTCAAATACATTGTTGACACTCCCCCGGGCTTGTGTGCAGGAATGTTTGCTTTGGAGGCATTGGATGGATGTGCAGAGATCAAGGGCTTCCCATCAGTTTCTTCCCTGTCCATCACCCAGTGCCACGTCTCCCCCAGTGATGGGGTCACTCACCATTTATGAAGTCGATCCCACTGCAGAGGCCATTGGCCATCAACCAACGGAGACCAGGGCATCTCTACAGCACACTGGAGAGACCCAGGTAAGAATGATGCAATGACATTCTCCAACCCATCTGTTTATCAGATGCCAAACCAGACTAACGCTTCGTGAAATGTTACCAGTGACAAATTGCTTCTGGTTCTAGCAGAGAAGATGCAGAATAGTGGCTTCAACACTGATGAGAAGTCCAGAGGTGGGCTGGGGATCCTGCAGCTCTTCCTTCTGCTGCCCCCAGGTTGTGGCTTTCATCTTCACGCTGATAAAATGACTGCTGAGCACCAACCATCATTTCTTCCATCTAATCAGGGAAAAGCAGGAGAGGAAAACAAAAGCACAAACTTCCAGCTGGGTCAGCCACCTTAATGAACTTTTCAAGAAGCCCCAACCTGCAACTTCTACTTATATCTCATTGACCGTGCCTGGTTGCAAAGAAGGCAGGGACAGAGAGTTTCTTTGTTAGGCACATTTCTGCCCTCAAAAATAAAGGGGTTCTATAAAGAAAGATGGAAGAATGGGCAAGTATCCTCAGCTCTCTAAGCTTCCGTTTCCTGCTCTTTAAAATTGGTCATCAATATTTGCCTCGTTGCAAGGATGTAGTGTAGACCCCCCAGCACTTCCCAGCCAAAGATGCTCCCCTGGCCACTGCCTCCTCCTTCAGACTGTTAGTCTGTGAATCTTCCAAGGGCACTGCCAGGAATAGGAAGAATAAAGAGAAACTTGAATTCACAAGTCCAAAATTCACATCCATTTAATGGCACCAGGCCAAGCAATTTCCAAAAGACTCGTTGGATCCTCACAGTAAGTTTTTAGTTGGGTCTGGAGGAAAGTACATGCAAATGAAAGGCAGGCGAGCTGGGTGCTAGCCACTAATTAAGGCTGGCCTCTTGAAAAGCATAACCCCGCTCTAAGCCTCAGTTTCCCATCTGTGAAATGGGTGTTGGGTGGTTAGGAATGAGTCCAGATGTGCCCTTTGGTTC